TGGAGGCCCAATATCCATCTGCTCCCTTAATACTAAACCTATAAATATATACACATAGATCTATTTTCCCATCCTCATATATAAATATATTTACAAATGTACATGCCTTTACTTAGACCTCTATAAATGCCCTTTGCCTCCTAGCTCTTTCCTCTATTTCCTTTTACTTTTATCATGCTCAGGCTTCATTTGGGTTTCAGTAATTCCTCTCGGTTACATTACCCTTGATCCCACCCTACCAGGCCTCTTACACCCTCCTCACCACCAATTTGGATCACAGATCTATACACCTAGTAACCACACGCATCTTCTAAGAGGCACGCACGTTTTGCTTTGCTTTATTTAGAGCTTTGTCTCTTTATATTTTCTAACAATGAAAAGTGTTGACTCAAGTTATTTCTTGGAGTGTTACGTCACCTGACACGGTTCTCTCTAACACTCAGAATATCAAGGTCCTCTACTGCTGAGTGAGCCTTCTACCTCGGAGCAGTCAGGAGCTGAAGAAAGTGCACCTACGGTTCTATTGGAGCGGTCAGCAGCTGAAGAAAGTGGACCTACGGTACTATAACTATTGGCTATTGGCCTGGTTTTCCAGAACCCAGACTCATATTTGTATAGTGTACTGGCTTATTCCCATTTAAAGGATAATATAGAATTTTCTTTGACCCACAACGCATATATTTATGGTCTGTTTATTGTGTTTTTAAGATTGCGAACCAAGAGCCACTGATGACTAACCTCAAACATAAGCTGCCCACCTTGGAAGACATAGGTGAGAGAGCAAGAAACTCTTTAAAGAAGGAAAGAAGGAAAGAAAGAAAGAAAGAAAGAAAGAAAGAAAGAAAGAAAAAGTTGATTTGGGCATGCTAGGCAATGACTGTAACAGCAGCAGATAAATTCACCTGACAAGGTGACCACTGCCTCTTTGAGATCTGCTCAGCGCCCCCATGTTCATCAACACAGCGTTAGTTGGCGAGGGATCCTGTACAGAGCCTCACAAAGTGGTGCATTGTAAGGTCAGAACTTCAGTGCCTCACAGTTTGGGAGGCCAGAACTCCAAGTCAGGTGTTGAATTGTTTCCAGGGCTCTGAGGGAGAAACTGTGCCCCTCCCTCTCCCCTAGTCTCTGGTGGCTCCTGGGGCTCGTTAGTTAGAATCTGCAGCATCACACGCTGTCCCTCCTCTGTCCCGGTCTTCGTGTCTCTGTTCTAAAGGCTCCAGTCATGAAGGAGCAGGACCTGTCATATGTTCTCCTGTTAACTGACAGCTTCTTCAGAGATGCTCTTTCCAAACACAGTCACGTTCACAGGTACCAGGAGCTCAGACTCCAGTCTGTCTTTTAAGGGGCTGCCATTCAATCGGTAACAAAGTCCAAGAGGGACCCAGAGGGACTTCACACAGGAGCCAAACTTTCTAGTGCCCGGGAGCATAGATCCTGGAATATGAATTCCCTCAAACAGCTGCTTCCTCATAGGCATCAGCGGAGGAGTATTTAGGACACTAGACCAGTATTTAGGTCTAGTCATTAGAAGTTCTGAATGGACGTTTGTGTGATAACAGTGGCATGAGGTTTCCAGTCTCATTCACAGTGTTGTGAGGTCTTTCGCATGTAATGACATTTTATGATATTTCATCTTCATCTCTAAAATGTACAGATTTAGAATAGGTGTAGGTAGACATTGAGGGGTTTTTCAACTTTGGGCGAGTGTGGACAGTGCTGCAGCCCATTGCCTTGGAGATTGCTGGTGTCTTGGGTGCTTTGGGGTGAGGCTGACCTCCAGGTTCACGAGGGCAGGGACCAGCAGGCTGGAGCGGAGCAGGTCAGCTCACGTAGCCACACTCTACGGGGCTCTCTCACCTACCTCACTCTGGAAGGGAGAGTCTTGGAACTGCCTGGCACGCTATATGCTACAACGTTCTATGCCGTATATATTAACTCATGATGAAATACAAAGCTAAGAAGAACAACATCTGCTCACAGGTGTGGTTCATGATGACTAGAATACATTGAACCAGGGAGTACCTGGTCCACCTCCTACTAGTGTGGTGTCTGTCCAAGCTATGCCAGGCGGCCTCCCATTCTCCTTGAGTAGCAGAGAGAGGATCTGAGGAGCCCATGTTGTTACCATGAACATCTGACCTCCGGGTGCTATGAGACCAGAACTGGGTGATGCCTGGCTGGGTCCATTACTGAATGTTCTGATCTCCGATTCTGTAGACGAATCCTCATCCGAAGTGGGCAAAAACCAGAATGGAATTTTGAACATAATGCTGAACTTCTGGAGCCATTGAGACTGGATGCCTATCTGAGATAGTCGCTAAACCTTAAAGGAATTGTTTTCCCCGAGTTCTTAGTCTCATTAGTAAAGTGTGGCTGCTTTGAGGATTGTGCTGTCTCTCAAAGATTTATGTGTGCAAGATCAAATTGATATCAGCATCTTCAAAAGTTGAGACGGGACAGCAAGTTATTTTAATGTTAGTGTAATAATTTGGGAAAAGACAGTAAAGGACATTTTAAAAAGTCAAAATTATACATGTTGAACTTATTGAAATTTTGTATATTTTCTCCCTCCCCCCTCCTTTTATGGCCTCTTTTCCCCTCCCCTCCACTTTTCTCTTTCTCTCTCTCTGGCTCTGTCTGTTTCTCTCTCTCTGACACACAGTGATTTATAAGAAATCTAAACAAACTCTATGGAGTACAGTTCTGCTTTGCTATGAGTTGAAATTGACTCAAGCAACAACTGGTTTGTACTTAGCAAGGTTAGTAGAAGTAATATTGGTTTATACTTACCAGTAATATTAGAGAGGTCCTGAGAGACAGAGGCTATGTTTGGGGCGCACATGAACACCTGGAAGGAAACATTCAGTTATACACTAGGTTGGAATGGGACTATGTATTTAAACCAGAGAAGCTGAGACTATTAAAGTAACTTTAGGGAGGGAGGAGCCAAGCTGTTCTGTCTGAGGTGGCCTTTGATAGAGAGCTGACGCTCAGGGGCATCCCATGAGAAGTGTGGACCTGCCAGCAGGTGGCGCACTGGTGCGATTCAGTGAGCTGCTGGAAGCCCACCTGCCTGGACACATGGCCACCCTGCCAGTTGACCCAGGCCCCGGGAAGGTTGCTTTGGAAGCCAGTGTGCCTGCTTTTCCTTCGCCTGAGCCTGTCCCTGGCTGGCACAGTGCCCCTAACTGTGACTGTGCAGCAGCGGGGGGCCTGTTCCTGGGTGCCATTCGCACCCTTGGTGCTTTGATACTCGGACTGCGCCTTGTCCTGGTGCCCAGTGAGAAGGAAGGACCAACAGGGACATGTATCAGTTGCTGCTTGTCAAGGCTAGACACTAAGTTGTCAGGAAACCAGTGTGGTTGAAAGGAAGGTGTGTGAGGTAACACCTTGTGCCCCGTTTGCCTTTAGACCTGTCCGATGGTGGCTTTGTAACACCAAAGCAGTCAAGATGGGAAGATGGTGTCTCTCGGGACTTCCATTCATCAGTGAGGGAGGAAAACGACGTGGCAGGTACCACTGGGCCCCCAGCCAGCAGTTCAAGGGAAGTTTGACCTCCAGCCATGCTGCCCTGATTGGACGTGCCTACCTGTGTTCCCCCTTATGCTCTCCTCCAAGTGTATGCGGAGTGCATGAGCACACAGGAACCCTGGAAGTGTAGTGGCTACTGGTGGGGCTGCTAACAGCAAGGTCAGCAGTTCAACACCACCAGCTGCTCTGAGGGACAAAGAAGAGGCTTTCTACCTCGTTGAAGAGTTACAGGCTTGGAAACTCTCAGGGCAGTCAGCCTCGACTGGATGGCAGTGAGTTTGGTGTGCTATGAGTAGGCAGGTAGCCCTTGGGTTACAAAGGTCTGATTTATAAACTTCTACTTGTCCCTTAAAGTTGTTCGAACCATCTCTCTCATGGCTGACAAAGATCTGAATTTTAAAAATTTGGGTGATTGGTCAGACTTGGTAGTACAGGAAACCTTAGAGGTTGAAGCCACAAAGTGAGTGACCAAAGAGGTGTGGTGAGACCTTCGGGAGCATGATGAGCAGTCACCTGGTGGTGTCGTGTGGAGAGCCACACACAGCGGTGTCCTTGGCTTCAGGCCTCTGAGCTGAGACAGCTCCGTGTGGAAGCTGTGCTTTCTGTTAGGACAACGTCAATTTGCTTCCACTGGGAAGCGCATGAACCCGCTAGTACTCAAAACGAATTCATCCCAGGCGCCTTCACTTGATGCAGGTGCAGCTTTTAAAGCGTTGACTCTCGAAATCCCATGTTTCCTTGCGTTAAAGTACAGCTTAATAAGAGTCAGCTGCACCTGTCCTGACTCACCTAAAAATCCCACCTAAAAACAGGAATGGATCTCGTTCAAAACCAGGGGAATGCCTGCCCTTACCAAGTTAAAAATAACAATCTATAACTCCGCCAGGGAAACCCATGACCCATTCTTTTTAAACAGAAGAAGTAATATGGAAATATTGACAAAATGAAAACTACTTATCACGGTTCATTTTAACAAAGAATTATGGAAGAAGTAAAAAAGAAAACCTCTTCCATGCCTCAGACATGATTGGAAGTGCCAAGTGAGGACTCACCTGAGAGAGGTGGCCTGGGTCCCCGCAGCAGGACTTTTGCCCGTGGTGGCCTCCTGCTGGAGCACAGCACCGGGCTTGTGTGGTGTGTGTGTGCTATGGGCTGACTGACTGACCCAGCCTTTGGGCACATGAAGGACTGCGGAAACCTACGTGTGAACACCTTGTCTTGTTTTTGGTGTTCAGAAGGGGTTTCTAGTCCATCCTTAGAAGTTATGCTGGAGAAGTCAGACAGGCCTACCATCCTCTCCACCTTTGAAGACATCACTGAAGAACTGAAAAAGACATATGAGGTAATGTGTGGTTTTCAAGTGCCAGATTCATAGTAGTCACGAGTCCCGTCCCCTTTCTTGGTGAAGGTGCTGCACAGACTTGGGAAGCCCATCTGTCTTAGCTGGGGTCAGCAATTCCGGTTCCTTTGTGTCTTAGGCCCATCCCTGGCTCACTCAAATGCTTTAGCACTTGACCACCAACCAAAGCACGGGGTGTTCAGACCCACCCACTTGTGCAATGGAGGAGAGTCTTGGCAGGGTGGAGCTCAGCTCTGTGGAGCATACGGGATCCCTGAGAGTCACAGTTGTGTAGTGTAGGAGAGGGGGCATCCAAAAGTCCCCAGTGGAGTGGAAAAGCGCCATGGTCTTTTCGCTCTACTTTCCCCCAAGCTTTCTGTGGTCCCCTCAGATGGAGTGGGGTTTCGCAGCAGTGGCCCCCTGTCTGTTTGCCACAGCTGGACCAAGTGAACCTCTCCGGTCGTTGGAGCCCATGGGGTGGCTGTATTGGTCATATTCTTAGGCCGTTGAACTGCCAAGAAGCAGTGACCTGGTCACGTGATAAGCAAGGATGAGGGGAAGATGAGAAGAGAAGGGACTGTGGACAAGAGCGATGTCCGGGACAAAGACGGAGGGGCACGGTGGTGGCTTTCTCTGGAATGGTGGCAACTCTCAGAGAGAAGTACACCTATTCCATGCCTCGGTACCTGGTTTTCAAGACGAATACCAGAACTGCATCCAGTCATCTCCTTGAGAACTCAATATAAATCCCTAATGGAGGATGATATTGAGTAGAGCTCCACATAACCTGTGTGAAGAAGCCCTGCTGGCGCACTGGTGAAGCGCGCAACTGCCAACTGCAAGGGCAGCAGGTCGCACTCCCCCGGCCAGCTCATGGGAGGAGACAGCCTTACAACCTTGGCAACCCTGTGCGACAATTCTTCTGTCCTCGAGGGTCCCAGTGGATGGGGATTGCTTTTCCGGCAGCGGGCTTGGGTTTGCGGGAATGAGTTGTCCTTATTTGAAATAAGTATCTGAACCTGACTAACATTCATGTAATTTAATGGGAAGAGCCTTAGTCTTTTCTTGTTGAGAGCCAGTCTATAACAGATCTCTGTTCAGACCTAATCTGCATATGCATGGCTGAGCTGAACGTAAATGCCTACCGCAGCTTGCTCTTTAATATGTGAGAAGAGTCCCTGAGCCCCCGTTCTCTATCGGTCGTGTTCGCTGTGGACGGCCTTCCCTGCAGGCCCTCACTAGTCATACAAAGCGTGCACTCCCTTTTGTGGTTCCTGTTTAACCCAATGTGACCGTTTGTTGTTGTTGTTGTTGTGCTCTAGCTGAGGCACAGAAAGAGTCAACTTTGTCTGAAACGTGGAGCCAAAGCACCGGATTGCCTCACAAAACTTTTAAAGCATATCCATCAGTGCAGGTAACTTAAGAGTTTTCAAACCAAGTTCATGTAGGTGTGATCGTTCATAAGCAATGTTGGTCTAGTGACTATAAGGCTGGGGTCCTGAAGGGCTAGTGCCTGTAAGAGAGGTGGAGGTTGATAGGTCCCTAACCCCATCCTCATTTGTAGTCCTTTAGCCATACAATGAGGCATTGGACTAAGAGATCGCCATATGTTTATCTGCCATTCTGATTGGGCAAATGGGTACCATGTTTGACAGCTATGCACGTTTGAGCCCACCCACAAGGTGGACTCAGACTGAGGACCTGAGGATCTACTTAAGGGAAACCCACCCCTGAGAACCGTAAAGAGCAGCAGGAGCGCTCTGACACCTGTAGGGTTGTCGTGAGCTGGCGTTGACCCATTGATAATCGGTTACCAGCGCACTCAGTGAGCCAGGCACCCGCATGGTGGTGTCTATGAAGAGCCTGGTGGTGGGGTGGCTGCGGTTTCAGTTTTTGGAAACAAGTTATCATTAACACATTTGAGATAAGATTCTTATCTCAACCCACAGCGCTCAGCAGCTAACCCAGAGGTGGTTGGTTTGAACCCATGAACGGCTGCAGGGGAGGAAAGATCTAGCTATGAACTCTTGTAAAGATGATGGCCTAGGATACAGGGCAGTTCCACTAGGACTGTCACTACCAGCCAGAACCTACTTGGCGGCACACAACTACCTGTGTGTGGATGCGCATGTGGTGTGTCTACCAGTGTCACACATGTGCAAAGGTGCCGAGGTTCCTGAGGTGGGTAGGGTGAGTGATTGGAGTCTGCCGCGGTAAGAGAGTATCCAGCAGGATCACAAGCTGAATGCTTCTAGAGCAGCGGTTCTTAACCTGTGGGTCGCGACCCCTTTGGGGGTTGAACGACCCTTTCACAGGGGTCGCCTAATACATCCTGCATATCAGGTATTTACATTACAATTCATAACAGTAGCAAAATTACAGTTAAGAAGTAGCACAAAAATAATTTTGTGGTTGGGGGTCACCACAACATGAGGAACGGCATTAAAGGGTTGTGGCATGAGGAAGGTTGAGAACCACTGTTCTGGGGTGCGTGCTGGTGTGAGGTGTGTTTAGGAAAAAGAGGGACAGAGGTTCAAGGAGCTTACAGAGAGCGCTCCTCGGGGCTGGAGAGTGTGGGCCTGGCCCACAGAGGATAAAAGTTGGTTTGTCTGAAATAGAAAGTTTCTTAGGGCCGAATAAATGATTTGAATAGGGTGTATAATTTAAAAAAATTCCTTCTATACATACGAATGTCACCTAATTTTCAGAAACCTTTCTGTGAACTCCAATTCCTGGGAATACCACGTGGGCCCTAGGAAAGTTGTGTTCTGGGGGTTTTCAGTCACTGATTTGGTCAGAAGTAGATTACCAGACTTCCCTCCCCCTCCCCACAAGGCACCCCAATAACCTTTATTAGCAGAGAGTCTTAACCCTTTGCACCACCCAGAACTTCCCTTACCCTTTCAGGAGGTGCACGTTTACCTGCTTACTCAGCAAGCGCATGCCTGGGAACACCCAGGCCCTGGGAGAGCAGCCATGCAGGTGTCTGGGCTCCCTGGACGAGTTAGCTTAATGGAAAGAGCAGGCATATTATCTTACGGGAATGTGGAGATGGGAAAAGAGATCACTAGCTAATGCCAGACCAGCTTTCAGGACTGCTTCCGAGGAGAGCCAGGGAAGCGTGGAGAAGGCAGGAAGCCAGGAGAAGTTCTCACGCCAACTGGGGTGACTGCCACTGACCCAGGTAGCCTTGGCCTCCCCTTGCCTGGAAGAGGCTATTCCACATCCATCTCCTCGGAATCTCTTTGACATCCTGGCTGTCTTGGAAAAGACTGTTGAAAGACGAAAGGAAAGTTTAAAGAGTTAACTTTCTGGGAGGTGTGGGGGAGCAGGTGGGGAGCCAGAGGGGAGGGAAAGGGGCAGCGTGTTCTTAAAATGAGAGGTGTCTGTGGAAGACCCCGAGGTCTCCTTGTCACACGCGGATGCCAGTCCCTGTACCGGTTGGCACATCCAAGCAGTTCTAATGAAGTGTGCTGTTTCCACATTTCTCAGACTGAACACAGTCCAGCAATTCCACCAGTTGGTTCGTCAAGGCCTGAGCCGCCTTGGGGAGGAGCTGCGGGCTCTGAAACAGACTGAGGACGACGTTCTGGTTAGTTTTGTTTGGTTGGAGCGGGATTCAGGACAGAATAACCACTACTTTTAAAACCCCTCACTTTTGTTCCATTTTAGGAAGTTTGGAGGAAAGAGTACGCTCCATCATTCTGTGATACTCACACTCTGAGGTATTTTTTTCAAAGTTATTTTTTTCTTTTTCTTGAAGTGTATGGTAGCTTATTTGAATGAGGTCATGCTTTCTTTAGCTAAAATGAGCGCTTGAGTCTAGTAAACATGTATGCAGTTTATCTAAACCACAGCTGCATCTTTGTAAACCAGCCACCCCAATGACTCTCCCTGAAGTTTGTGTGGCTAGAAGTATGATCTAGAAGTGTAAATTAAAAACAACAACAACAAAAAACCATGAACATAACCATCGATTTTCAGTTTTTTTATTCAAATTATTTTACTTTTAAAAAGAATGTTTAAAAATTAAAATGATGAAATATTGAGGGGAAATTCAACTTTCTAAAACAACAGTTGATCCTCAGTTATGAACTAAATTGTGGTTTTGCTAGAATATACTAGAATGTATAGGGAGACCTCAGTTATTGTAGGTTCAATTCCAGACTTTGCTGCAGTAGTGAATATTGTCATGAAGTGAGCCATAGGTGTTTTTCCAGTTTCCCAGTGTCTATAAAAGTGATGTTTACACAATATGCAGTCTAATAAGTGTGCAATACAAGTATTATGAAAACGTTGGAAAGAGTGTGAGAATGACCAAAATGTGACACAGGTATGAAGTGATCACTAATAATTTTGCTTGATGAATGCTTGCCACAATTGTATGCAAAGCGCATAAAGTAAAATCCAATAAAACAAGGATGCCTCTTTCCCGAAGATATATTTGGGAACATATACATATACTTTCGGTGTCAGAGGCTGTGGCAAAATGAGATAGTTTATGTGGCCGAAGTCTGTCTTGATTCTTGATTCTCTGGAAAAACAGATGAGATTTTTCTCCTCAGCTCGTAAGTCTTTTGCCCTATATTCCTGTCTCCTCCCTAACACCCCCCGCCCCCCCAAGCTTTTACTTTTCTCCAGGTGGATTGACATTTTGGGCAAGATGTGACCAGCTAGACCCCTTGCCCCAGCCCTAGTGCAGCCTGCAGTGTGTATAGATTATGCAAATGAAGTCTTTCATTTACTAAGGGGATTGGTCCATTGGAATATTCCTTTGGGAGGGGCATGCCTTGAGATTAACAGGAAGTCTGGGTGTTTAAGCTTTCAGCCCTGTAGAGATTTTTCAGACACAGAAGCAGGAAGAACAGGAGGAGGAGCCGAGCAGGAGCAGGCGGCTACGGGCCAAGAAGGTGCCCTGGGCTAGAGCCGCCAGCACCAGGCCCAGAAGGGGCAAGAGGAGCTGAGAGCTGCCCCACGTTGAAGAAGTGAGGCTCTGCAACTGCGTGCTTCTTCATCCTGAGTTATAGCCTATTGATCTTCATTGAGTTTTGTACCCCATTAATTCCTGAATAAATCATGTCATGGAAGCGCAGTTGTGAATGGTGTGAGATGATGCAGTGAACTGCTGAACCCAAACTGAAAAGGGGGAGTGGTGTCACAGGTGGGCAGTCGCTTAGAGAGAGTGAGAATCCGGGAGAGATCTGCCCCCCACCTCATAAGAATGGTTTTGTGCTGATTCTTACATTGATGACGGGGCTTCAAAAAGTATGTGGCCAAACTGCTTCATCTCTTAATTCCATTTTTTTCTATGAACTTCTAGAAGCCCCCTTATCATAGAAGCATAAAATGGACTTTTTCATAAAATGCATAGACATATTTATATATGGTTCTGCTTACACATTCCCTTTAGTATGCATTCTTTAAAAAGAAACAGTTTTATTGGCACATAATCCACATGTCATAGAATTCAATAGTTCAGTCATAGCAAGAAGCACTGTGCTAGTCATTATCACAATCAATTTTAGAACGTTTCTTGTCCTCGTTGTTGGCTCCCTATGTCTCCCCAACCTCCTCTGCCAGACCCACCCGAAACTATTATTACTGTCTCTGTAGATTTTCCTGTCCTGGATGTTATATACAGAAAAAATTAGAAGGCAAACCAAGTAAGAACTCCCAAGAACAATTCCAAAGCAAAACGGACTCCCATCCATTTGGAATAGCATTCCTTTCTGGGGACGTTAAGAAGTAGGTAAGGGAGACCAGAGCTCTTCAGGCCTGTGTTTCTGCCCTGAGAGAATTTCTAGTATTTTTCTTCTGTTTGAGTACTGACACGAAACCTGGTATACATGAAGGGGTTTCAAAAAGTTCATAGAAAAGGGAATTAAAAGATCATGAAGATTTTTCATGAACTTTTGGAAGCTTTCGTGGATTTGTAATTCCTAAAGCTGCCAGGTAAGAGGCAGTTTCTGTCTCTTTAAAAGACTCTTTTATATATTTATAAAAGACTTTTATATATTTATAACAATCTTTTGAAGACTCCCAAAGAACTTTTGCTTATGTGGGCTGCATCTGTTAATATTAAAATTAATATTAAAATTGAGATGGACATTTTTATGTTGTTTTAACTAATAGGACTAAGATCCCAAACCAGAGGTTTGTGAGATAAGTAGCCGTGCTTTATGCTGTATCAAATCTCTGATGTCTGACTGAGTAAAAGACAGCTGGATTCTTATAGCTGCTTTTGAGTTTAATCTTCCGGGGTATCATATTCATGAGAGAATAACAATAACAAACACATTATCATGTCTTCGTAGTACAGTACAGTATTACCAATAGGGTTTTGACTTCTAAGAGCTTTCAGTTCATGCAGATTAACCCAGTAGGGTATTATTTTTTGCAATCATCTATCTTCCTTGATAGCTGCCTCTGTGTGAATTTAAAGTACCTCACAACCAACCACGTCTTCTGGATGTCTGTCTGTCTGTCAGGATTGTGTGTGTGCTCTCACTTCAGACACACTAAGAGCACCACTCCCTGGCTCGCAGATGAGGGGGTGGAGGCCATCACCGTTTGTTGCCGATGGCTGAGTGTTCACAGTGTGCCAGGTGAGCAAAGGCTGTATAAGAAGCACCTCTGTGATGCTCAGAGATGTCAATTAGGAGGGTGATCAAGGTCACATAGATCCCATGTGTCAGTCATGGCTCTATTTGCCTGAGGAAGTGAGAATGATACTTCAGGCTAGGTAGTCTAGTTCCTTGCACAGTGCTATGGGAGATGGAGATCCAGTGCTTTGAAAGACTGCTTATAGTGCTGGTCTGTCGAATCCAGATTCCATGAGAAAAGCCACCACCCAGTTTTGTTATTGCACCACTAGGCTAGGTGCAAAGGGTTGCTTTGTCCTGTCGATGTGAATTTGGGTGGGAGGAAGCATGCACTGAATTACATGCTAATGCCCTTTCCACAATACCCTCTGCAGCTGAGCTTTCAAAATCTTTCCCATCTCAGTAATTATCCTCTTGAGTGTAGGGCATTATTCAGGTTTTATTTGGAATGTGCTGCATAAAGTACTATGCCACACATGGCGATACAGTGGGCACAGCAGGCATGTTCCCTTCCCCATTAAAATTCAGTTTCTTGAAAGAAGACAGGAAACCAGATGAGCAAATGAAATAAGTGCAAATTTGCTAATTGCTTTCAGGTAGACTAACAATGCGACTTGTCAACTTAAGATGGTTTTAATGGTCTCTCTGGGGAGGAAGATGAGATCTGAAAGGTAAGAAGGAGCTAGACTTGGCCATGGTTTAAAGAGACTGTTGGTCAGAGACGTTGGCATCTTGGAGGAGCTGGGGACCATATGGCTTTAGAAGGAGCCCTGGTGGTGTGCTGGGCTACGCATTGGACTGCAAGACCTTTCTGACATCAGCAATGTATGCCTAATTCCAAGTCCTCTTCTGAAACCAGCTTGAACTCCTGCAGTTTCCTGTTCAGGTACTGCGACAGCCGTTTTTGAGTTAGCTTCAAAATTTTGGTGGGGTGTAATATTGTTTATTTCTGTGTTCTGTTGGATCACCTTTCTTTGGAGTGGGCACCATATCAGTTGATTGGCTGGGACAGCTCTCTTTCAAATTTCACGGCATAGATGAATATACCATTTGCTGAAACATTTCCATTGGTAGTCCATCCATTCCTGGGGCCTTGTTTTTAGCTCATGCTTTTAGTGCAGCTTGAACTTCTTCCTTCAGGACCACTGGTTCTTGCTCATATGCTTACCTCTTGAAATGGTTGCATGTCAACTAGTTCTTTTGGTACAGTGACTCTGTGTAGTCTTTCCATCTTCTCTTGATTCTCCCTGCATCATTCAGCCTTTTCCATAGAATCCTTTAATAGTTCAACTTGTGACTTGGCTTTGCCTTCATTTCTTTCAGCTTGAGAACTGTTGAGCACGTTCTTCCCTTTTGATTTTCTAACCCTAGGTCTTTGCATATTTCATCGTCATATTCTGTCTTCTTGAGCCACCGTTGGAAAATTTCTGTTTATCTCTCTTACTTAATCATTTCTTCCTTCTGCTTTAGCTTTTCTATGTTCCAGACAAGTTTCAGAGTCTCTTCTGACATTTGATTTGGTCTTTCCTCGTATTTTACAGACCGTATGCCTTCTACATGTATGCCATCCTCAGCGACATTCCACATCTACTCTGGCTTCTGTACTAGTGGTCAGCTCATCAGATTGGTTCCTGTGATGGTCTGTAAATTCAAGTGAGATATATTGAATGTCACATTTTGGGTCGTGTGGATTTGTTTTCATTTTCTTCAACTTTCATATGAACACTCGACAATTCATTGTGCCATTGACTCCTGGCCTTATTTCATTATTTGGAGCTTCTCTATCTAAGATATAATCCATTTTTCTTTCTGTAGATTCCATTTGGCAAGGTCCACGTGGCACTAGAATAGTTACCATTTATGTTGTTAACAAAAAATATTTCTAATAAGTCATTGGTCTGGCAAAATTCTATAATGGACCCCTGTGTCCTGGTTATCAGTTAGCCATATTTTCCAACTGCTGATCCTTCTTCTTTGCTTCTATCTTTCATGTTCAAATCACTTGTAATTATCTTGATTACATTTTCGGTCAATTTCAGGCAGTAGAAGTTGTTAAAAATCTTCAATATTCACACTTCTGGCATTTGTGATTGGTGCATAAATTTGAATAATAATTTGAATTAACTGGTCTTCCTTTCAGGTAGATGGCAGTAGGCACCAAAAATTACAATCAGTAACTTTAGATATATGCATAAAAATAAATGTGACTGAAGATCCACATTCATACTTACCTAGAGCAGATGGTGCATGGTCTATTGGCTCCAGTCAGGCTCTCCACCAGGCTGTCTGGTCACCGCGGCCAGCAGGCTGGATGCCCTACATGTAGCCCATCCCTGTGTCCATCCTGCTGCTTGTTCCCACGGCAGTGGACTCACACAGTATCTGTCCTTTTGTGATTGACTAATTCCACTCAGCAGAATGTCTTCCAGACCCCTCCACGTCTTGCGATGTTTCATAGCTACTTTTAGGGATGCATAGTATTCCATTGTATGTACAGTGAACCCTCGCCACTTCGCGCTTCAACTTCCACGGCTTCACTCTATCGCGGTTTTTGCATAACAGCGCATGCTCTGTCATTACTGCCACTGATTGGCTCATACTGTACACGCTTCTGTCTGCATCGCTACGTATCGGAGCTACG